GATACCTCTGGTAGCCAAGCATGCTTTACTTACTGCAGTTAAGGTCATATGCTTGCTTTGCTATGACTTGTCTGCACTTAGGTTATTATGTATGAGGTATTAAGTGAAAGGAGGATTAAGGCAAATTCTTAAAAATTTATGTTTTAATTTTAAAAATTTTACTTTGGCACTGCCAGATTTGAAATCATACTAATAGGGTCTCTAGATCCTGAACAATGTTACTTTTTACAGTTTGTGAAGCTTTCACCTACAAATAATCGAACTTTAATTAAAAGTTAACTTCTGTTTTTGATTTCACAATCAACTGGTTTATATAGAACATTTGAATTTTAACTCTTTACTTGAAAAAGAAACCCAGAAGAATCTTAAATTCAGCTGATTAGTAAATAAAACAAAACAGCAGAAATTAAACATATACCCCAAATTGTTTTAATTAACTTAGCATTTTGTAGTTTTAGCATCTATTGTAATGTATTCTAAAGATAATGGGAATGTAAGTTATGCTACATCTTAGTGTATGTTAAATTGCTTTAATCATACCGCTTAAGGGGTACTCACAGAATATAGGTTACCTTCCAGCATCTAGACCTCTCCCACTCCTCCCGCCCTGAGCCCCATTCCCAATAATAAAATAGAAGAATTTCATTCCAAGTAAGGATTATTGTACTTGGGAGATAATGATGCTCCCATCTTTGAGGATAGTATGTCTTACCTGAGAACCTCCTATCTCTTACTGATTGTGAGTGGATTATTTTGCTGACCCTAGTGTTTAGGTGTGCAGAATTCTGCAAGTTGAACATAGAGATTTAACGTATTAAGTAGTACATTTAACTTAAGCCAAATTTGGCTGTACAAGCTCATTCCCCTGGAATCCGCCCCCATTAAAGGAATTTTTAAGAGGTAAAAAACCCAAAAGGGAGTGGGGAGAATGGGAGGAGACACAGTATTGGGCCAAAGCAATTCAGCAAATTTTTGAAAGATGGAAAATAGAAGGAAGAATAGCAGTAAATGATAGAAGAGGAGAAGCTATATTGGGATCCCTGCCAGGAGGAAAATGATTTGAGAAGGTAACAATTTGCTGTTAAGGTAAACCCATAAAGGCTCAGGGCACAGAGGCCCAAGTATTGAGTACTGCAGGGGTGAAATGGAGGCTATCATGGGACTAGCTAGAAGTCTATGGAGGCAGTACGTAGACCCCAGGTCCTTTCCCACTCCATGTAGTCATATGATTACCCTTTTCAGAGCAACAGATCAGAGGTTTATTTTCTGAAAAACAAACAAAAAAACAAACCTGATAAGCTCTAGACTTTGGAACACCAGACACAACTGGGTTAGTGATGAGACTTAGGAGACACTGAAAATAGCATGGAAAAAACGAAAGTCTTAATACTGAACGCGGATTTCCCTGGACCTATTTCCTGCCCTGTCTCCAGAAAGCAAGCAGGCAGACCTGCAAGTACTTTCTGGGGCCCCAGACAAATTCTTCTCTGTAGAAACAAGGTAGCTGCTGTTTTCTTTTTCTGGAACTCTAGTTTACTGAGATGTTGGACTTACTAATTATAGATTATTATTTTTTCCTCCAGATTTATTGAAGTATTATTTAAATATAAAATTTCCCTACTTTAAGTGTATAGTTTTATTAGTGTTGGTCACTGTACACAGCTGTGTAACCATCACCACAATCACGATACAGAACAGTTTCCTGATGCTGAAAAGTTTGCTTATGCCGTTTGCGTGACGATTCATCCCCTCCCTTGGTCACTGGTCCCAGGCAGTCACTGATCTGCTTTCAGTCACTATGGTTTTGACCTTTTTAGAATGTCATATAAATAAACTTATGTAGTAGATAGTCTTTTCTGCCTGGCTTCTTTCACTGAGCATAATGATCGCAAGATTGATCATGTCTTTGTAATATTAATATTTCATTCCCTTTGTATGTGGAGTGGTATTCCACTGAATTAATATGCCAGAATTTATTCATCTCTTCATCGGTTGATGGACATTTGGTTTGTTTTTCATGCTACCCCTTTATAGTCACACTCATTTCCTTCTCCCCTACTATCTTGAATCTGGCAACCAATAATTTATGATCTTGTCATTATGAAAATATTAGCTGGGCATCGTGGCTCACGCCTGTAATCCCAGCACTTTGGGAGGCCAAGGTGGATGGATCGCCTGAGCTCAGGAGTTCAAGACTAGCCTGGACAACATAGCAAAACCCTGTCTCTACCAGAAACACAAACAGTTAGCCAGGCATAGTGGTGTGCACCCCTGGTCCCAGCTACTTGGGAGGCCAAGGTGGGAGGATTGCGTGAGCCTGGGAGGCCGAGGTTGTAGTGAGCTGAGATCACACCACTATACTCCAACCTAGGTGACAGAGTGAGACTCTGTCTCAAAAAAAAAAAAAAAATTATATGCATGGAATCATACCCAATTGGACCCTCTGAGATTGCCTTTTTTTCCCCTTTCAATATAATGTCCTTGAGATCCCTTTACGGTGTTGCATGTGCCAGTAATTCCTTTCTACTACTGAGTAGTAGTCCACGGTATGGATGTATCCCAGTTTGTGTAGTCATTCACCTACTGTAGCACATTTTGGTTCCCCCCAATTATATTCAAATTGGATATGTGGAAGGGTAATTCTTTTGGAAATGTGGAGCCACTGAAGGTTTTTGTTTGTTTGCTTTGAAGACTTTTGTGGAGGGGAATAAAAGGATTGTATCTGAGTTTTTGGAAGATTATGCCAGCAATTCTACTTAGGAATTCTAGATGGGTTTTTTGTTTGTTTGTTTGTTTTGAGACACAGTCTCACTCTATCACCAGACTGGAGTGCAGTGGGGGATTCTCAGCTCACTGCAACCTCCACCTCCCAGGTTCAAGCGATTCTCTTGCCTCAACCTCCCAAGTAGCTGGGACTACAGATACGTGCCACCACATCTGGTTAATTTTTTGTATTTTTAGTAGAGATGGGGTTTCACCATGTTGGCCAGGATGGTTTTGACCTCTTGATCTCGTGAGCCTCCCACCTTGGCCTCCCAAAGTGCTGCGATTACAGGCATGAGCCACCATGCCTGGCCAGGATGTTCTAGATGGTCTTGATGAGGGTGGTGAGAGCATGAACAAGACTTGTGGTCTTTCAAATTCTCATATATTCATTGAGATTATCTATTTATTGTCTATTATATTCCAGAGACTGAAACTGTAATTGTGTTAGATACTAGGGATATGAAGACTAGTATGACATAGTCCTTGTTCCCGGGAATTCTCAGACTAAGTAGAGGGCAATACTTACATACAAATAAATACACTTTAGTGCTATCGATGCTATCAAAGATGTCTATATCTGACTCATAAGAAATATAAATGAAGTGGGAGGGTGAGGGTCAGCGAAAGATTCAAAGAATGATGAACTAAAATAACATGTGTAGTGCTCAGAACAGTGCCTGGCACATAGTAAGCAGTCGACATAAATTAGTAATTGTTAGTAATGGTGGTATATGGAGGTAGGAAATAGTCTAGTCCAATTGATAAGCATAATAAAAAGATAAGATAAGAAGTGCTTTCATGAAGAACTCATATGCTTTCACCTGCCTAGAAGTGAGAAGAGATGCTTGCTCCTCTCCTTTGGCCTCAGGTAAGCTTTCTGTTTCAGAGACAATGGTCTCCAAACTTCTCCCTTGTCTATTTGCCAAAAGGAGTATGAATAAAAGGGCCAATATTCAAACAGAAAACAAATATAGTATACTATTTGCTGCAAAGACTTTAAAGGTACATGCTTAACCTTGTAACAAGCTCCTCCAGTTACTGCTTGGACAGATCAATGAAATTCTTCAATAGGTCTTTTCGTTAATAAGTAAATTAGAGCAGTAAAAAAACATAGCTTCCTGTGTGTGGAGTGGAAGGTTGGAAAGTCACTGCTCATGAGTATGGAGTTTCTTTTTGGAGTGATAAAATGCTCTAAAATTGACTGTGGTAATTGTTACACAACTTTGTGAATGGATTCAAAACTACTCAACACTTTAAATAGGTGAATTGTATGATATATAGTTCAATAAAGCTGTTATTAACAAAAATTATGTAGTGATTTGGAAAGCTGATCAAGTGATTACTAGAATAAAAACAAAATAAAACGTAACCACTTACTAACTTGGTGTCATCAGAGTTTGTTTCAACTCTGGTTCCTGAAAACATAGTTCTACTTTTCTTTCCAATCGATATTTGAGGCCAGTGTGTTTCAAAGAGGCTCACCGTTCATTCCCACAGATAGGTTTGACATGCCAGAACTCATTCATCCAACCCTGGGATTATGGTCAAATGAAAGCTGGAAATAGGTCTGCTTTTCCTAGGCCAATTCAGTCTTCAACTTGCAAGCTCGGTGCCATCCAATTCTCAAACCCAGTCCTGACCAAGGTCCCATCCAGAGGTCTGTATCTGATGTGCCTGCGATGAAGGCAGGAGGGCACCTAGAGCACTCACATCTCCCCTACCTTCACTGCATTTGAATGGATATACCTGGGCTCCCACTTATAAGTGAGAACATGAGGTATTTGATTTTCTACTTCTGCATTAATTTGCTTAGGATAATGGCCTCTAGCTACATCCATGTCATTGCAAAAGACATGATTTCATTCTTTTTTATGGCTGCATAGTATTCTATGGTGTATATGTACCACAGTTTCTCAATGTGGTAGAAGTGACCAGTGTTCTCAAGCCTGTATGTCCGTCTGGCTGGGCCCTGATTATTTCTCCAGGGGTTAGGCTTTACCTCTTACGTTCCTAGGCACAAGCTGGGGTCCTCCTGAACTGTGCAGACCATGTGCTGGATTTCAGGACCCCTATTACCTAGAGATTTTGTTCTTAGGTAATAAGCCCAAGTTTGCTCCTCTTCTTTGAAGATGGTCATTTAGAGTGCTGGCTACTTCACTTGGGGCAAGCCCAGGAGCCAGCTTAGCTGTCCTCATTTCAGAAACCAACTAATTTTTTTTCTTTTCCATTTCTAGGAGTCTACTGCTAAGATTTCAGCACGTCCTATGGCTGAGTTAATCAGAGTTATGATAGGAAGGTACCTGGCACACCATCGCAGTGCTCCATCAATGCTAGTACGTTGTGTTGTTTCCTTCACATCAAGTCAACTCAAGCTTGCTCTACTTACCTGGTGTACACAGTCTAAGAACTGTAAGAAGACTGGAGCAAAACCACTCCCCTGACAGTTGAGGGTCAAGCTGCTCCGCTGACTGAATTTGTGACCAAAAGAGAGCCACTCTTTTTCAACCAACATCCGGAAGCCTTCAAGTGTCCTATAAAAGGGATCACTGAGTAACTGAACCAGGGATGTCACCTAGGGCACAAACAGGATGGATTGTTATTAATTTTAGTTCTGAAAAAGTCCTATTACTAAGATAAAAGCACTTCCTTCTGATAATAGCTAATTCACAAATTTAGCTGGACAGCAAATTTGTTCACTAACCATTCCAGGATGGCCAATAAAATGAATTCTGTAAGCTTTCCAGTAAAAACTAAAGCTCAAATTCATTTTGGCTACAAGTTTACTTTCAGGGAATTAAGCCTTTAATCCTTAACTGGCCAGTTTGCTGACAACAACCTTTTCCTAAGTTAATCAGAGGCCAGAGGATCAGTTAAAATCAGTTCTACTTTTTGGCAGATGCAGATTAATGTCTTAATGTAGTCTGAATTCACTTTTCACTCTGGAGTGGGTTAAAGTGGGGCTTACAGAGAGCCAGGGGATGGACTGACAAAACCCAGAAAGGATGGTCCATGCCTCACACTGCTGGTCAAGGGCTCCATCCGCAAGCCTGCATGGTAAATCTGCGGGTGGGAGAGCTTGATGCCTGGAGCCAGAGCTCCAGGCTGCGTAGGGGCTAAGAGCTCATGGTACAGAGTTTTCTGATGGATAACAGGTGGTGTTTAACACAGCGCTTTCTCTGTCCATAAACACATTAGTCATTATACAAAACATTCATCTGAAGAATTTAAAAACCACCAAATGGAAATATAAATATAAAATGAAGTATCAAAAAATATGTCTAATAGTTTACTTGTGCAGTGATGTCCCAGCCTTCCTCCAAACAGACCAAAACTGAGGAACCATTTTCAAGTACTTCTGATACAACCACAGCCAGCTGCATTATCCTGTGAAGCTAAGAGATAGGAAGGAGAACACAATTAGACCAAGCACTTTCTGAGTGCAGAAGTCAGAAAGAGTTGCTTTCCCTGGATAATCAAACGAGTTAGGGATAAAGCGCTTGGATAAAAGAACCACATAATGTTTTAAATACTTAAAGTTCTTTCAAACCAAGATTAAACAATGACACTTTTGTCTGGGTGTAGTGACTCATGCCCGTAATCCCAGCGCTTTGGGAGGCTGAGCTGGGCAGGTCATTTGAGGTTAGGAGTTCGAGACCAGCCTGGGCAACATAGTGAGACCCCATCTCAATAAAAACAACCACAACATGACACTTCAAAAAGGTAGACACGTTTTAGAACAATACATAATGAAATAAAATTACCTTACATGATTCCCCCAAAAGTAGGTGAGCTATAATTCCACAGAGTACAAAAGATATTCTATGTGGACTTCCCAGCAAAGGAAGGAAATTCACGTGAATTTTATTGGATTTAAAATTTGTTTTTCAAAAAAAAAAATTTGTTTTTCCATGATGTAGTAAGTTCTATTTCAGATATTCTTAATTTTTTGGGAATTAGATAGTGGTGATAGTTACAAAACGTTGTGGATATACCAAAAAGCATTGAGTTGTACACTTTTATCATAAGGATAAATTTTATGGTAAATGAATTATATGTTAAAAAAGATACTCCTGGCTGGGCGTGGTGGCTCAACGCCTGTAATCCCAGCACTTTGGGAGGCTGAGGCGAGAGTAGTGCTTGAGCTCAGGAGTTTGAGACCACTTGGGCAACATGGCAAAACCCCATCTCTACAAAACATACAAAAATCAGCCAGGCGTGGTGGCATCTGCCTGTAGTCCCAGCTACTCAGGAGGCTGAGGTGGGAGGATCGCTTGAACCTGGGAGATATAGGCTACAGTGAGCTGTGATCGTGCCACTGCACTCTAGCCTGGGTGACAGAGCAAGACTCTGTCTCAAAAAAAAAAAAAAAAAAAAAAAAAAAACTCCAATTTGTCTGTGCTGTGTACGAAATGAGAAAAGAACTTTTATATTTTTGTTAAGTTTTTAAAGCCACATCAATTGGCTCAAAGTCCTTGATAAACAATTAAAGTGTGAGAACAATATATAGATTTTAAAACCAAATATATAACATTCTAGTTTTAAAAAATATTTTAATGATCATCAGACATAATTTGCAATTTGAATCCAACTCTGAACAAGAACAAAAATGAAAAAACCCATATCTTAAACAGAGCTAAGGTACTTTATTTTATTTTATTAAAAAAAAATTTTTTTTTTTGAGACGGAGTTTTGCTCTTGTTGCCCAGGCTGGAGTGCAATGGCGCAGTCTCGGCTCACCACAACCTCCACCTCCCAGGATCAAGTGATTCTCCTCCCTCAGCCTCCCAAGTAGCTGGGACTACAGGCACGCGCTACCATGCCTGGCTTATTTTGTGTTTTTAGTAGAGACGAGGTTTCTTCATGTTGGTCAGGCTGGTCTCGAACTCCCAACCTCAGGTGATCCACCTGCCTCAGCCTCCCAAAGTGCTGGGATTACAGTTGTGAGCCACCGCGCCCGGTCTAGGCTACTTTAAACACAGGAATAAGGCAAATGTCCTACTCAGTAATGAGAAGGTCCTCACGTAACTGTTTCTACAACATAGCTATCACCAGGCCTGAATTCTTTTGGGCTCAGAATTCATTCTAAGAAATGGCTATTATTTAAAAAATCAAAAAATAACAGATGCTGGCGAGCCTGTGGAGAAAAGGGAATGCTTATACATCTCTGGTGGGAATGTAAATTAGTTCAGTCATGTAGAAAGTAGTTTGGTGATTTCTCAAATAACTTAAAAAAGAATTACCATTTGACCTAGCAATCCCATTACTGAGTATATACCCAAAGGAATATAAATTGTTCTGCCATAAAGACACATGCACACACATGTTCAGTGCTATACTATTCACAATAGCAAAGACATGGAGTCAACCTATATGCCCATCAACAGTAGACTGGATAAAGAAAATACAGTACATATACACCATGGAATACTACACAGCTATAAAAAGAATGAGCTTATGTCCTTTGCAGTAACACAGCTGAGGCAAACTAACACAGGAATGGAAAACCAAATACTGCATATTCTCACTTATAAGTGGCAGCTAAACATTGAGTACATATGTACACAAGGAAGGGAATAGATGCCTGGGGCCTACTTGAGGTTGGAGGTGACAGGAAGATGAGGATAGAAAAGCTACCTATCAGGTACTATGCTTATTACCTGGGTGATGAAATAATCTGTACACCAAACTCCCAAGACATGCAATTGACCTATACAACAAACCTATACATGTGCCCCTGAACATAAAATAAAAGTCAAAAAAAAGAATTTGCTTTAAGAGTTAACTTTTAAGATGTCAATATCCCAAGTGGGCAATTATTTCCACTGTCTTTAGTCCCTAACTTTTGGTACAGGTCTACTTTCTAGCAAAGAGCAGAGCACAGAATGTATCAGAAACATGGATAGATAAGTTGGGTGGTGGGGTCCGTTTGGAGCTGGGGCGCATAGCCTGGGGACAGAAGGGAGTATTGATCAGTTCCTTCCATGGGTATGCAAAGCACCCTAAATTGCCTTAATAATAATGAACACGGCACGATACATTTATAGCCAAATGTATACGTGGTAGCGTTTCTCTTTGGTTTAAGTATCTTGAGAACAGTCACTGCCCTGCCCTGGGTACTGACATCATTCCTTTTTGTTTTTTTGTTTTTGTTTTTTTGCTTTTTAGTCCAATGTGCTGTGGGAAACAAGAGGCAGGATGCTTGCAGGTAGATGGAGGCAAGGGACTGGGAATTTCTGCAAGGTGATAACAAATAATGGGGGCCAGGCATGGCAGCTCATGCCTGTAATCACAGCACTTTGGGAGGTCAAGATGGGAAGATTACTTGAGGCCAGGAGTTCAAGACCAGCCTGGGCAATATAAGAAATAAAGGAGCTTAAAGACAAGGCCCTTTAATTTCTCAATAAAAGTTCCATTAAGAATATCCCAAAGTTGACTGAACTGAAAGACAGACACTGTGTTTTATTTCTCTAGCCTTAGGTAGGCTTGGGGGCATCCACTGTGCCTTTGGTGGGTAGTTTGGGGTGAATCTAAAATCTAGAGACCTGGGACGGGCAGACAAATGAAAGGTGAGAGCTTTTGGAGTCATGCAGAAGTTGTCCTCTGCCCTGGATCCTTACTGTACTGATAACAGAGCAGGAGCCCTGTATATACATGCTGATTAAATTTACTACATCAAAAATTTCCATCTAAAAATAATTTTCTCCTTAGTGTCCTATAGACACCAAACTTTGAATTACACAGAGATAAAAACCCAGCGATCAAGACTTCTACTCCCTCACCTCCTATATCAGATGATTTCCTGAAACTGAAAGGCCTTTACTGATGGCACGCAATGAAGGAGGAGAATGTTGGCAAGTGAGGGAACCAAGTATTTTTTTTTCTCAAATACAGTTCTGTATATCTACTTGGGCCTCTGTTTCTCTGAGTTATAAAGAAAGAAGCTGCTTCAGACATTACCTGTGGGAGCCACTCAGAATCTCCCAGCGCTTTCAGGAAGGTCACTTCTGAGTCAGTAGGGATGGTGCTTGGGATACAAGCCCTCATCAGCTTCTTAAAACTGGCTTTCACTTGCCGGATTTCATGAAATTCAACAGGAACAAACTCACAATTTAAAGCAAATTCTACCTTGAAGTTCTGTGGATGAAGATTCAGAGAATCAGGCAGATGAAGTGCTATAGGTAAAAGAGTGATGTTTCCAATGGGGCAGTGCATAACGGTAAACAGTTAGTTGGGGCCAAATAGCTGCAGAGGCTGCCAATGGGTCAAGAGAGTCAATCTTGTATGGCAATGTGTCAGTGTTGATGGGAAGAGCCATTCAGTACAGTCTAGTGGTTTGCCTAGAATGGCAAATCTAGTCCTTACTAGAGGTAGATTACTTAGCCTAAGAGTGCTCTCATTCTGAGAACTGGAAGAGACTACTGGTAGACTGGAACTTGATGGAGCTTATAATACCAAATATAAGTCAATTATAAGGTCATGAACCCGGAAGTTTAAAGAGCAACTAACGATACATGGACAGTATGACTACTCCAATAGTGTAAACTAAGTCTTCCCAAGATGTACATGGTAAAGGATAGGTAATACACTGTTGGAGTTCCAGACTGTACAGGTATTAAAGTTTGTAGATATGCACATATTTGTTTCTTATTATGCAAGTAAAACATATTCATAATAAAAATGAAAAAAGGTAGAGATAAATATTGAGAAAGAAATAAAAATCACTTTCTTGCTGCCCCAAGACTACCAACATTGTGGTGACTTTTTGTTTGTTTGAGATGGACTCTCACTCTGTCACCCAGGCTGGAGTGCAGTGGCACAATCTCGACTCACTGCAACCTCTGCTTCCTGGGTTCAAGGGATTCTCCTGCCTCAGCCTCCCAAGTAGCTGGGACTACAGTCGTACACTACCACGCCCAGCTAATTTTTGCATTTTTAGTAGAGATGAGCTTTCACCATGTTGGCCAGGATGGTCTTGATCTTTTGACCTTGTGATCCACCCACCTCGGCCTCCCAAAGTGCTGAGATTACAGGTGTGAGCTACTGTGCCTGGCCCTACTTCTTAAAAGTCAATAATAAAAAATTACCTGGCTGGGCGTGGTGGCTCATGCCTGTAATCCCAGCAGTTTGGGAGGCCAAGGCAGGCAGATTACCTGAGGTCAGGAGTTCAAGACCAGCCTGGCCAACATGGTGAAACCCCATCTCTACTAAAAATACAAAAAGTAGCCAGGTGTGGTGACGGGCACCTGTAATCCCAGCTACTCGGGAGGCTGAGGCAGGAGAATCACTTGAACCCCGGAGATAGAGGTGGCAGTGAACTGAGATGACACCACTGCACTCCAGCCTGGGCAGTAGAGTGAGACTCCACCTAAAAAAAAAAAAAAAAAAAATTACATAAAAAAACCATGAAAGGCTTTGTTCATTTCTATCTTTGGGATAACATTTTTTCACTTAATATTATATATGTATCAACCTATATTTATTTGAGTACTTTCTCATTTACATCTTTAATCCATATGGAATTTATTTTGTGTGTGGTATGAGTGTTGCATTTGTAATTAAAGAATGCTATACTGATGGCCTACTGGTATATTTCATTTTAATAACCTAGCTGTGAAGATTTAAAAGTCCTCTAACTTTTCATGCCAAAGAATGAATTAATTTTCTCAAAATGTTTCCACTTTCTTTTCATTTTGCCCAAATTACTCTACTGGACCATCTGCTTTTCTAAGAGTAAAACTGCTTTCTGGAGATTGGTTGCACAGCAACGTGAATGTACTTAATAATACTGAGTCATATATTTAGAAATGGTTAAGATGGTAAATCTTGTTATGTGTATTTTATAATTTTTCCTTTGTCTTAATAATTCCATTTTAAGGAAGCTACTCTGAGGAAATAATCTAATAGGAAAAAAACCTCTGGGAATGGTATCTCAATAAAAAAAAAAAAACCTATTTGCTTGGAATTGTGACTGTAATTTTATATACAGAAGATAAAGAAACCTAAACATCCAACAATACAGGTTGAATAGTGACTAAAATAGTTATGGAGACTACTATACGACATGGAAACATGATGTTAAGGCTTCAGATAAAGAACCTAGTGATATACATGAGTTCCTTTCTATTATTTTTAAAAACTTATAATAGACAAAACATAGTTTACTTTTCAGGAAAGGTAGATTCCTATTTCCCAACTATACATAAGCTAGGTATGCCTATCTTAGAAGCCAGGAGTTACTAACCAAAGTAGTGAGACACTCCATTAGGTTGGAAGGAATTTGTTCCCAATAATCAAGTATTAAAGTATGTGAATTTACCTAGGTAAAGGTCAAATTCAAGATTATTTTCAGAATAAGTCACTGTAATTTACTGACTTTCCTTTATGCTTCTTTGTTGGGAGAAAAAGGTATGGAATTGTAACTGGATGGCATTGTGCTAGCTAGAATGTGGCACATATCAGACAGATACAGAGCCGTATTCTACACACAAAATCAAATAAAAGATAAAACCTGAATGGAATATATAAAATTGCTGACAACTACTGTGCCAGAATGGTGGGATTACATTTTAAAAAATAATAATACTTGGCCGGGCGTAGTGGCTCACGCCTGTAATCCCAGCACTTTGGGAGGCCAAGTGGATGACGAGGTCAAGAGATGGAGACTATCCTGGCCAACACGGTGAAACCTCGTCTCCATCAAAAATACAAAAAAAAAAAAAAAAAAAAAAGCTGGGCGTGGTGGCATGCGCCTGTAGTCCCAGCTACTCGGGAGACCGAGGCAGAAGAATCGCTTGAACCTGGGAGGTGGAGGTTGCCGTGAACTGAGATCATGCTACTGCATTCCAGCCTGGCGACAGAGTGAGACTCCGTCTCAAAAAATTAAAAAATATATAATAATGATACTTTACTGAGGAAGGACAGACAGAAAGAAAAAAGAGAGGGAAGGAAAAAGGCAGCATTCCAACTCTTTCTTACTCAAATACGTATGATCACACAGCTAATCTGAGAAATCATGTGTAAAGAGAATGGCAGAGGGGAGTACTAAGGAGCTAAACCTCGGAGAGTGATTCAGATCACGAGTAAGTGTTGTGCTGAAGCATGGAAAGTCTGTGCTCTGGAAAAGACACTGGCACCAGCAACCCTGGATTGCTGTAGAAAAGTGTTCTATTTTCTGGATATAAAATTATTTACTGTATCAGAAGACAAATATGCAGATTTAAAAATTGAGCATTACCCAGCAGTTTTATGCCCTCTACCCTAAAGGCTGATGACTAAGTGGTTGCAGCAGTCCAGGCAGTGGGAGAAGAGCTAGCAAAGCCACCAGCCTGCTCCAGAAGAGATGACTCAGTTACTGGCGTCTTAAGGGCCAAGCATGTGGGATCTTGCTAATGGCACCCTGCTCACAGTTTCTGCTCCATGGTTCAGCCAGAGGTCTGTCTAGGTTGTCCAGTGCCAACTGGAGCACTGGACTAAACATTGAGATTTCTGAGTTAACAGGTAACTTTCATGTCCTATACACCTATTCGTGGTAATGAAATTTATTTTGCAATGCGTGACTTGCAAAACATTAAATTCAAGGAATTATCATTGCTTTTGGAGGAAAAGACCATCTTTACAATTTATGGGCCCTCAGCATGGTGAAGCTCTTTAGCACAACAACTTAACAGTAAGAATACAGTTGATTAGCATCTAGTATTTTGAATTTTCTGACATGTCTTAGGACATGTGTCTCTTTCTGTATAGTCTTGAGAAGTTTTAACAAGTGTTACTCAGAAAATCTAGACTTGGCCTTGCCTTGCCTCCATACGTGGCACCACAGTCTTCCTCTCTCCATTCTTCTGTCTTTCTGTAGCCTTTTTTATCAGTAGGTTTACAACAACAAAACTATCTGTTTTGCCATGGGCAGATTCCTGTGGAAACTGAATCAAGGCTGTTGAAAACACAGCCTGATGAAGCCTTATTTCTTTCTTTGTATGTACACTTCCTAGTATTCCTGATGTTTATGTTGATTTTTTACTGTCATGAATAGATATTTATTTTCGTGGCTAATAAATATGCATATGTATATATGTGTATGTATCTATATAAAAATTAATATATATAAATAAATTCAAAAGGAGAGCTAAATTTTTTGAGATTATTAACTCCAGGTTAAGAATCATGCTATAAAAAAAATTCTAGCAAACCTGGTCTGTGATACATGTTTTATAAACAGCCCTAGTGTATCCACAAAGTTTCTAAGTGAGAAAAAAGAAATCTTACCCTTAGTTGCGACTTTTCACCAAATATGTAAAGGGCTGCTTGCCGTTTCAAGAGCTGGTTTTGTAGGTAGGTGCTGTTACTGAAGGAGGCCGAATGGTCCTTGCCGGCCAGCCGGGCGCCAACATCAATGAAGGATGTTGGAGAGCTGATCAAGCGAGTGCTAGAGCGAAGACTTGCCCACACACCTTCACAAAAGCCAAAGTCATGGAGTGAGATAATCTAATGTGGGAATACCACTGACTAAGGAAAAAGGTGCATGCTCTAGAGCTACAATTTTAGAGGTCATAGCAAGTTGATTAATCTAAAAATCATAAGTCATATGGTCATTTGCTACTTCTGTAACATAAGCATTATCCAATATAGCATTTCAAAATCACAGAATCTTAGCCTCAGAACAACCTACCAAACCCCCCAAATCAATCTTATTTTATATTTTGATGTAAATTCAGGATTTAAAAGTAAATACTAAGATCATAAGTAGAAACAGTACATTGACACTGAAAACAAAACAAGCTGGCAGGAGGTACTAATAAAGTCTAGCAAGGCAAATGCTGAGTTACTCAATTTCTCAGGGCTTCATGAAAAAAGTAAGGAACATTCTTCTGCTTATTTGGTCAATTTCACATGACATTTAAAGATATAAAATAGAAACTTCATAAGTCTACTAAAATCTGAAGCTGGATTTGGAATTAATATTTGTATATCATGCCAAAATGATGTAATTCTAAACAAGATTATATTATAGTTTTTTTTTCAGTATCCGTGAAGAATGAGAAATTATAAATTTAGTAATGGGCACAGTGCCTCATGCCTGTAATACTAGCACTTTGGAAGGCCAAGGTGGGCAGATTGCTTGAGCCCAGGAGTTTGAAACCAGCCTGGGCAACATGGTGAAACCCCATCTCTACCAAAAACAAAACAAAACAGAAAACAAACGCCTATAGTCCCAGTTACTTGGGAGGCTGAGATGCGAGGATCGCTTGACCCCCGGAGGTGGAGGTTACAGTGAGCCAAGATAGCGCCACTACACTACAGACTGGGCAACAGAGTGAGACACTGTCTCTAAAATAAAATAAAATAAAATAAATGAATAAAATGTACAGTCAGAAGCAGATACCTTTATTTTATTTTTTTTTGAGACGGAGTTTCGCTCTTGTTGCTTAGGCAAGAGTGCAATGGCATGATCTCAGCACATCACAACCTCCACCTCCTGGGTTCAAGAGATTCTCCTGCCTCAGCCTCCTGAGTAGCTGGGATTATAGGCATGCACCACCATGCCCGGCTAATTTCGTAATTTTAGTAGAGACAGGGTTTCTTTATGTTGGTCAGGCTGGTCTTGAACTCCCAACCTCAGGTGATCCACCCGCCTCATGCCTCCCAAAGTGCTGGGATTACAGGCGTGAGTCACCACACCCAGCCAGAAGCAGATATCTTCTAAGAGAAAGGGCAAGCTAAAATGCTAGAAGAGTCTCAGTGAGATAAGTTGACCTTAGTTATATTAATTAGAAAAATCAAGGATTTCTATATGCACGTGAGACTATTAAATATCAAATATCCAGACACAAAGGCATACACTAATTCTCACATTTGACTAGCACTGTATCACCTTCAAATCAAGAGGCCCTCATAAATGCCTGTAGAACTGTGGTGTTTATCTCAGTGATGGGGTCACAGGGATACAGGACTTTCCTACTGCCTCCCTAAAGTGGGTTTTCTTCTTTAGATCTAGAAAGCCTGTTTGAGAAGCTTTAGTCTTTTCCCAGTATTAAATTGAAGTCATGTTTCTAGGTGACCAGAAGTCACCATGATAATGTCACCTCTGCTTCTCTTTCTCTTTATAAGCATTTATGGGGTCAAGAGACCAGTTCCCAAGAAAAGTTTTTATTGCTCATTTCAGCTTCACATGCATGAATCTTTGAGACAGAGTTTCACTCTTGTTGCCCAGGCTGCAGTGCAATGGCACGATCTTGGCTCACCACAGCCTCCGCCTCCCAGGTTCAGGTGATTCTCCTGCCTCGGCCTCCCGAGTAGCTGGGATCACAAGCGCGCCCCACCACGCCCAGCTAATTTTTGTATTTTTAGTAGAGATGGGGTTTCACCATCTTGGTCAGGCTGGTCTTGAACTCCTGACCTCAGGTGATTGCCTGCCTCAGCCTCCCAAAGTGCTGGGATAACAGGCGTGAGCCACGGCGCCCGGCTGCATGAATCTTTCTATGTAGTTTATGAGTTTTTCTTAGACATTATGGCAATTATTAATTTTTTTGTAAATGGAATCAGAGGAAATTCAGAATGTAGATGAGAATAAAGGATATAATTTTACAAATGCAAAAAAATTACTTGTAACATACGTAGTTTCACATGAAGATGGTTTAAAAGAGTGACATATCAGGACACATAATACAGTACCTTGATTATGGACTCTTCCCTTAGCTGAAGATTTGGGATTTGACTGAGTAAAACATTTATCTCTGTACCCATGCACTGGTAGGTAAGATTAAAGACAGAAAGAGAAATAAAATGTATATAGTAGCAAATGTCAGAGCAGATTGAGTGAGAAGAATAGGCTACTTAATTTTTAAAATTAACAGGGGAAAAATGTAAATATAATAAAAGTAGAAGATTTAATTAACAAATAAAAAGCTGCAGTCACATAAAAAAGATGCATTGAGTACCTGTTAAATGAAATTTCAGCACCTGTTTATAAATACTATAAGCACAATGAAATGGACAGCACACAGCAGAAGGTGCCACTAAAAAATTATACCAAATGGAATAAGCTTTTAAAGATTATCATTCAGTCAGAAACAAATTTATATAATAAAATTAAGGAATTTGGGGTGTGTATGTGTAAATGTTAGGAATACACTGGTCCTCATATTGAAGGAGACTGGCGAATGCTGTGTGTTGTACAACACATTTGTTCTTTGAGCAAGGTCATCACACCAGGAAACAATGAAGCTCTAGCAACCATTTGGAATAACTAAGGGCATATTTTTGCAGTAGAGCATTAAGCATTGCCACGCTATCTTCCTTCTCTTTTCATTTGGAAATTACATTTATTTTCCATAAATACTTATGAGCAGCAAAAATTCATAATCCTGTGACAATACCCAATACCACTAAAATACAGCTTGTGATGACTGAAGTAATGACTTCTCTTAAAATCCCTACTTTCACCAAAATGATAGGCAGTATTAGAGATAATAGTTTTGTAATTTGAGTAATATATTTTTTCCGACAGAAAGAAAGGAGTTTATGATGATGGCAAACCAAAAATTGTGAGCAGTTTTAGCACTTTCCAAGCAAACAAATTGCTCAAGTCAATTAGAGGAAATGATTTTATATTTATTCAGTCAGGATTGCAATCTTTAATAGTAGTATTAAGTTATACAGTGCAAAATTGTGTAACATATGACATAACAAAAATCATTCGAAGTGAGTTTTCATTCCCACTTCACTCCTTTAGAAGCAGAAAATGAAGGGCACTGATGGCTCTGGTGGCCAAAGGAAGTCAGAAAGTAAGGGCTGCAGAGGTGCTGGCTGATGACAGACAGAGAATGTGACTGCAAGACAGAACAAAGGCTTGGGACGACATGGCCAAGGCACACTGTGTGGCCTCCTCTGTGTTGGCTGACTGCTCTCCTCTCTGCCAAAATTTTGAACTTTCCTATTGAAAATGGGACACTAAGATGATGATAGTGATACTTGAGTAGTTCCTGATTCTGAGATATAGCTTCCTTAACACATCACACTTTCTTACGCTAGTCTTATTGCCTGGAATGATTTCTCCCATTTCCTTACCTGACACATTCCTACGTAACCCTTAAGATCCAGGTACAATGTTAGTACCTCTTCAAGGCATTCCTGACTGCTCCCAAGCTGGGGAGCTCTATTTGAACTTTGATCACATTGCATCATGATTATTTGCATATTCTTTCACTCTACAAGATTGTGTGTGTAAAAGGAAAATAAAAACTCAGGACTCCAGTTCACTATGCCAAAAGGAAAAAATTAGGCTGAAAGCTGAGACATACAAGAAGCTGCTTTTCCTTTTGTTCCTAAACAAACAGCTACAGTTAAAAGGTTAAATTTATCCACAGAGAGCTACTGGTATGTTCACTTTATCTTATAGACAAATACATAATTGACCATTCTCCTACCTGCTCCTTTTTTCTTGCAACATGTGGATTACTATACCCTCCCTCTTTCTCATTTAAATATTAAAGCCCTCAAAATCATTGTTGGAGAAAAGGCACAGACCTGTCTCAAGGGTGAGTCCTTAACCTTGGCAAAATAAACTTCTGAATTTATTGAGACCTGTTTCAGGTACTTTTTGGTTTACATGTGCTAGTGAGGGCAAGCACCCAATCATGTTTATTCTTGTATCCATGCTGAGAGCCTGAAATACAGGCACTCAAAGAATTTGTTATTTACTTTTTGCAAACCAATACATTGTAAGCTGTTGTGACTCATTATTATATCTTCAACCCAATTATTTGCACTGAAAGAGTGAAAAGAGGGGTATTAAACAAAAAACAGTAAGGACTCCCCCAAAGAGGGGCTCATCAATGAAAAACTGCCAAGTTTTGGCCAATTAGTAGAAAATCAGCAATGATAAAATGGCCAGTACTGATATGGGGCCAGCAGGGGGCTTTGAGAATTCTAATCCCATCTGGAAGTCATTTTAACCAAAGGAATTAGACTAGCGCATTGGTTGGTGGTGGTGAGGTCTACTTAGATTTCCTGAATGATTTTTAGATGTCCTGGGCATTTAACACTAGCAAAGGGTCTCAGGCAGTGTTTTTCCAAACTGCAGGATCATCCTTAGTGGCTTGGGAAGTCACTCTAATAGGTCAAATCAGTATTTTTTTCAAAATTAAACATTACAGTTGAAAATACTAATGAGCACTGCATGTGGTACAGATGAATATTGTTTCACAAAACTTTTGTTTTAGTGTATATATTATACATTTTGCATGTGCCTTAGTACTACCTGAATTGTGATATAAAATGAATGGGTATATATACATATAAATATAAAATACATTTCTTACTGTGAGTCATGATCAAACAAGTTTGAAAGTCACTGGCTAGACCTAGGGCATATGCCTTCTATCTCTTGCCTTAGATCAGTAAGGCTCAAAGCAATTTAAATGCAAATGTCAACTTTCTTCCCATTTCAGCA